CCCCCCCCCCCTTTGGGAATGGTCTAAAGACATTTCAGTCAGTGGCACTACCCGCGGGGGGTGGAAAAAAAGAAAAAAAAGGAGTACTTTATGCAAATGTCAAAGAAATAAATGCAATGCCGTAGACCTATAATAATCAGGGATGCCACTCAACTTTTTTGAAAATAGCTGAAAATCCACGCACCACGGTCTTGCTAACACATGAATATCAATTAGAAACCCGAAGGGCGCACATAGAGAGAAATGACAAACAAACATAAGCAATTCTTTTCCCCAACTATAGATTTTATCTCCATCTCAAGAACAGAAGAGCGGATCAGGATCAAAATACCGGAAATACTGCAAAAAAAGCGGAAAAGTGGCATCCCTGAATAATAATAAATGACATTTATACAACGCTCAACCCCTATTAAAGTACACAGGCTCTGAGCACTTTACAATACAGTACAACGTACAACAGTAACATAAAACGTTGTGTTCTGACTAAAAGAAAATCACTCCAAATGTTCATCTTATTCATTTAAAAACAGAAACAACTTCAGCTGACATTTGAATGAATAGTGTTGTTGAATGAGCTCCTCTACGAAACTATAAACTATCACTGTTTCTAAAGGAGGAACATATTGTAAATTGTAAACAATCTCTGTAACAGAGGGGAATATTGTTTTACTTGTGTCTATTTTTCAAGGAGATGTGTGAAGCGTGTTGACAAAATGAGTTACTTTTCGGATTCAAGCCTTAAGGTAATAGATACATCATGCTTATGGGTGAAGTTTTTACTATTTATACATAGGCCTATGAAATAATAAAAGACAGGTCATAGTTAAAGAATATGGTATCATTAGAAAATCTTTAAAAATTTACTCTTATGTTGATTTTTTGCTAATATCTCTGTTTGTGGATTGCGAGAAGTAACTCATTTTGTCAGCACGTCTCACATTGTAAATAGTAAACTACCACTAAACAGAAGGACACATTTTAGTTGTGTCTATTTTTAAAGGAGATATTGTAAATTGTAAACAATCTCTGTAATAGATGGGGTATATTGTTCTACTTGTGTCCATTCTTAAAGGAGATATCGTAAATCGAAACCTACCACAAAACAGAAGGAAACATTATTTTAGTTATACCAGCTGTCTGTCAGACAAGGCAAGAGACTACAACTATAACTTCTTTAAGCCATAAGTTTTTTTCCACTGTTCCCCGGAGTTTCAGTTTTTTTCTACAGTCACCTAAACCTGGTGCACTGTGTCTAATTTTAACCCCAAAAGTGCCTCCAACTTTTAATAGCGGAAACAAAGGCTTAGTCATTACTATAAAACTTGGTTCGGGAATAGTTCCGAAAAACAAGAAGAAACCAACACTAAATAAAACAAAACAGTAGTCTCTAGTATCAAACGCCAGCGTCCGATGGGGTTGAAAGAGTTGAGAACTATGCCCAGGAAGCCTCTGTGTCACTTTACACTCCAGTGAGCCATATCTTTACACCAAACTGGAGTCAATTTATCAACTTCCCTGTTATTCAGGACTCAAGTTTTTCGGGGCGTTTTTTTTAAATTCAAATTTTCAGGCCTGGTAGCCATCCCAAATAATGTGTTGTTGACTGACCCTTGGCAGAGACGGAGATAGAGTGGAGTCCGGTGGTGGCCAGAATAAAGAACGCAGACTTCTTCTCCCTCTTCTGACGGTTGTCCAGCTGCAACGAGTACGATGTGATTGCTTCCCCTTTCTCGTTGGTCACTTTCCCTTGAATGCCTGAGGACAGGACAGCGAAAGAAAACAAAAATAACGTTTGCGTTAAAATACCAGTTAGCCAATAGAATATAATAAACACTTTAACTTAAAACAGTAGCACATTCTGAAAATTATGCGCTATCAAAACTTTTTTTAAAAAACCTTTACCATATCTGTACGCGCTGTGGTCATTTTTTACCCCCGCGGTTGTATTCTTCACATCTTAGAATACTTCTAGTGCAAAGATCTCTTTAAAACTTTCAGTATTTCTCAAAAAATCATTTTGACAGACTACTATTACTATGCAAAGCATACGGATGGGATTAATGAGTAAATTTCCTCTTTGGAAAGTGGTGGGACAGAGTTCCCCACGTCATATGGATACGATAGTAAAACGCGACATACGGATAGGGTTAACGTATGGATACGATAGTAAAACACAATGTACGGATAGGGTTAAGTGGTGGCACAGAGTTCCCCACGTCCTGTGGATACGATAGTAAAACACGGCGTACGGATAGGGGTTAAGGGTGTCGAACCAGGACCATCTGCACAAATGTCTGGCATGACACCAACTGAGCTATAAGTGCACTCACAACAAACACAACATAAATCAAAGCGTTAAAAAAACTCTTGGAGCAAACAGCCCCAGCAAACGTTTTCTCCATCGCAAGAACACAACACACAATCTCCAAACCTCCATACACAAAAGGACACTATCATGTCGAGGGCTGCCAAGTAAACTATCGTAAGTCGTGTTTTTCAAATTTTACAGGAGAGACAAAAAAACTGATTTTCTAGAAGCATTTTAGGTGGATAAACTTTATTTTTATAAGGGAGCCTACAAATGCCATGGACAGACATTAGGCTCCCTTATGAAATGAAGTTTATCCACCCAAAACACTTCAAGAAAATCCTTTTTTTTTTTTTGCCTGTCCCGTAAAATTTGAAAAACATGACTTACTGACTTACTATAGTTTACTTGGCGGCCCTCGGATATTGAAAGCCAGTCTGGTTTTCAGAATTATCATGCAGATGATTGTTAGTAACAGACTTAATTAATTACAAAACTAAGGTCAGTACTAGATGTAATGCATGATGCTTTTTTCTTTAAATTTAATTATAGTTTTACAGCACCTGCAACAAAATAAGGTTATATTGGTGCCGAACGAAGATTAGAGGTTTTTACAAGAGAGTAACAAACACAAAAAAAGGAGGGGAGATAAGGACGATAGATGTTTGATTGAAAAGAAGCAGCAAACCACACCCCAGAGCACCCCCCCCCCCCCCCCAACCAACTGGTCGTTTTTAAGGACAAGTGGGCTAACCCAGATTTCGGGGGTTTCCAGAAATCTTGACCTACACCAAAAGTGGGCATTACCCTACCTATAGGAGAAGTTTGGTTTCATTGCTGTGTATATTTGCTTCGTTATAGAGAAAAATCTCCTTGTCTCTTAAAGAAACTGATCAAGGGGCAAAAACTTTACCTTCTATTTTTTCAAAACAGAATTTTTTGGGATAGGCCCCTTGTGCTTAAAAGCGACCAACTATCACGATGCTTTGTTACACATGAGCTCAAGTGGGGCTGGCATGTTCACAACAGTCTTAGTTTTAGTAGAGGTTTTACGGCGCTCGCAACTGCATAAAGATCATATGAGCGCCAGAAGATTAGAGTTGTTACAAGAGAGTAACAAACATAAAAAAGAAGAAGAAGGGGAGATAAGGACAGTAGATGTTTGAAAGGAAAGAAGAAGAAAACCACACCAGAGCATCTGCCAACCACCCGCAGTGAACTTCCTGAAGCTCTTACCTTGCATGGCTGAGGACAGCACATTGAGGATGGGCTGCAGGGACACCCGCCACACGCCCGGAATCTCTGAAGCCGCCGGGTACTTACAACATGCAACGTGAGTACTCAGCTGGGGACAAGAATACAGCAAGGCGTGTCTTTGACGCATTCACAAACACACACACAAACACAAAAGCAAACACATGCGCCAGAGCGCACACACATGCACTCATGCATGAGTAGAAGTGTTGAAGTTAACAGCGCATTAATAAGCTCAAGATAACAATAATAATAACGATAAATAGCATTTGTATAGCGCATTTCCCAACTCGAAAGCAAGCTCTATGCGCTTTACACTACATTATTACCCAAGCAGACCATAGAACACTCGAAAACATTCTCAGCTCCCTGGGAAGCATGCAGTGCAAGCAGCTGGTTAAGCACTCAAACACTAACTGACAAGATCTTTCACCGTCTATTACTGGGTACCCATTCCCACCTGGGTGAAGTGAGAAAAATTCGTGCAAAGTGCCTTTCCCAAGGACACAACGTCAGGCCCGCGGCTCGAACCCCCGAACCCGCAACCTCACGATTACGAGTCCAGTAGCCTAACCACTAGGCCACCGACGCCACAGCCACATTCTGCCAGGTATAGGTTACAAGAACAGTAACCCTGGCATTCTCCTATTTACCTGACAAGTTGCACCTTTAGTGTCCTCTCACCTCCCCTACTACCCACCCAAAAATATGAACAAGAGCTGACTTTGACTCATGTCTGAAAAAGGGTATAGGTTTAACGCCTTTATCAACACTATCAGGTTATTTGACACTTGGCCGCCTCATCTCGCCGATTGGCCATGTTTACCACCCACTTTCTTTGGATTTTCCCCAAAATACGATGGCAAAGTGTTAAGAGGCGGGATCTCTGAGTTTAACGTCCATCTCCGAAAGGACTGGGCCAAATGGGACATTCGAGTGAAGTTGCTTTGCCCCAAGACAAAACATCGGACCGAGCTAATGCTCGAACCCCTGAACCCGCAATCTAACGATTACATTTTTTAAGATTAAAAAAAACCGGAGTGAATACTGAGACTGAACCAGTGAGCATGCATCCCTTCTCTCTTTAAAATTTTTTTTAAAAAGTAAGTTTAGTTTAGTTTTAGTAGAGGTTCTGCGGCGCTCGCAACTGCATAAGGTCATATGAGCGCCAGAAGATTAGAGGTGTTACAAGAGAGTAACAAACATAAAAAAGAAGAAGGGGAGATAAGAACGATAGATGTTTGATAGGAAAGAAGAAGCAAACCACACCAAAGCACCCGCCAACCACCCACAGACAATGAATTGCACAAAAAAAAAGAGTAAAAAAGTAAAAACAACATTTTTTTTAAATAAGGAAGAAGAAGAAGAAGAGGAAGCAGAGGAGGAGGATGAGGAAGAAGAAGAAGAAGAAGAAGAAGAAGAAGAAGAAGAAGAAGAAGAAGAAGAAGAAGAAGCAGCAGCAGCAGCAGCAACAAAAACCTACCATGAGTGTTCCATACTGCCCGTACACACTGTCGCCCAGAGCTATCGCCTCCCTGCCCATGTCCACGCCATGCACAATGCCTGAGTGCCTGGCGCCGGGGCAGGCGTCGCCGTGGTACACCTCCGTCATGCCCTCGGCAAAACTGTGCGCCAGCATCTGCAGGACGTCCTCGTCGTCCGTCAGAGCCGAGGCCGCGCTCATTTCGCTGCTGGCCAGGACGTTGCGGGGGATGCTGAGGGGTGGGGTTGCAACAGCAGGGAATGAATAAATCAAGCATAGTTTCTTCGCCAAGCGTCACTGTACACATTCTTCTCACTTTAGTTCTTGCTTTCTATTTTCGCAAACTATCAAAAAAGTTTTAGTAGAAGTTTTACGGCACTCGCTACTGCATGAGCGCCAGAAGATTAGAGGTGTTACAAGAGAGTAACAAACATAAAAAAGAAGAAGGGGAGATAAGGGCGATAGATGTTTGATGGGAAAGAAGAAGCAGACCACACCAGAGCACCCGCCAACCACCCACTGTGCAGTGTCCTCGCCAAGTGTTACTCTCTATTTTCCCAAACTATTTCTCTCTCTCTCTGTCTTCCCCAACTCTCTCTCTCTTTCTCCATCTTCCCCAACGCCCACACTCTCTCTCTCTTTCCCCCTCTCTCTCTCTATTCACACAAAAGTCCATAATTTCATAACCAAATTTTTCCACTCACAAAATTAACTGTATCCAAACTCCCCACTCTTACAATACACCATTAATAACCTCTCTCATCACTCAGACATAAAACTGTTGCTAAACTCTCTAGTTACACACGCAACAAACTGTTACGAAACTCTTACTCACACAATAAATTTGCCGCCCGCGTCTATGTTCAGAATGAGGTCAAACTTCACACAAAAGTCCATAATTTCATAACCAAATTTCTCCACTCACAAAATAAACTGTAACCAAACTCACCGCTCACACAACCAACCATTAATAACTTCACTCATCACTGAGAAACCAAAATCAAACTTTTGTTAAACTCTCTAGTTACACACACGCAGCAAACTGTTAGGAAACTGTTACTCACACAATAAATTTGCCGCCAGCGTCTACGTTCAGAATGAGGTCAAACTGGTGCAGGGCGATCAGTCTGGTCAGGTCGGCCACCACAGGGTCCTGAGGGGATACAAATGTACAAATGTACAAACGCACAAACATACAAATGTACAAATGTGAGGCATCATGGTGAAATCAGGTGCTCGTCAAAATACAGACATTGGAGAAACAGGCATTTTTTCGTCAGTTTGGAAATTTTTATCGAATTTTTGTTTCTTGGCTGGACACCTTTTATGACCATATAAAAACACATTTCCATGTGAATTTTACTGAAAAAACGTTGATTAATGGCAAAAAAATATATAATAATTTTCAGTTTTCAAGGACTTTCAAGCTATAGCAGTTACCAAACTTAGAAGGCCATTTTCTCGCTAATCTCTAAAACCATGCTACCCCCACCTCCTTTAATCGCACATACTTCGACTTCTATCCAAGATAGATGGGTGTTCTTTTCATACATAGCAAGACAAATGACATTAAGCTTTCACATAATACCAATAACTCCACATGTTCAAAAATTGATGAGCGCCTGATTCCACCGCGTCGTGACACAAATGTACAAATCATACTGAACCTTTTGGAAATGTCAACTCCATTATTAATGCGTTCTCCTTCGGAAAAGCAGCAAACTACTGACACAAAAGAAAAGTAGTAGCAATGTGACCATCTAGTCATTTGTTGATCGATTGATTGAGTAGGTGTTTTACGGCACTATCAACTAAATTTTGGTCATTGCCAACAGGTTCTAGTCGTTTGTGTGAAAGTAGCGGCAAAATAACCATGTAGACATTCATACTAATGTGGGAAGCCACACGCCACATACTGACCACATAGATATTCAAGCAGAGAAGTGGCTACCACATAACTATAGGGATATAGTATGTATAGTATAGGGTTTTACGGCGCTCGAAACAGCATAAGGTCATATGGCTACCACATAACTAGAGGGATAATCACAGAATTTGAGCTAAAACATTACCTTTCGGAAAAAAGGAATTTTTTCTAAAAGTTCTCCTTTATGGAGGGGTTTCATGAATAAATGGCCTTCTATCTGTCCCTGTGGTTTTATGCACCCCGCATAATTTAGCAAAACTAGATCATTTTTTTGCATAATTTCGGATTATTTTCCTTTATCATTCTTTGTTAAAAAGAACAGAATCGCATAATTTCACACTTTTGGGTTTAGTTTGAATAATTTCAGAATTTTTCTGTAATAAAACGACGGGGACAGATTTATAATTTAGGGTGACTGCCAGTTAGGCAAAAAAATTCACCGGAAAGGGTTTACCCATTTTCCAGGGGGGCGTAAATTGCCCCCGCTACATCCGTCAGATCGCCACAGTACACAAAACATTTTACAAAATCTTTTTACCAACTATTTTTACAAATATTATTATATACATTATGTACATAGCAGCTGATTTGTTTCTGAGAGGCTTGAGCATCCTTGTCTCAGAGACTCCCCATCGCAAAAGGAAGACTTTACAGAGTTGAGGAATATCATGATAAATGGCCTTTTATCACGTCACAAAGCAGAGATTGTGAACTTACCTTGCTCTCCACCAGGTCATTAAAACGAGGGCCCGTGTAGTTGACCCCGCTGCAATCCCCGGGGTGCGCCGCAGTGCTGTGGCCGTTGACACGCGGCAGGATGTGTACGTGCGACGTGCTGAGTATGGAGGTCACCCCGGGCTCCCCGCGGTTGAAGCCTGTGGGTGGACGTTTTAGCTGGTTTAAGTTTTAGTTTTTGTTAGTTTTAACTCTTTCAACCCTCGGCCTACACTTCCCGGTTGTCAGCTCTCCCTAGAGACTTTTACCACTTTTTGGAAAAACTTTTTAACCTCTTCACTGCTGTGTAGACGTACTGGTTTGTATTCCCCAAAACTGGTTCTCCTCCCATGATTTGTTTACCAGTTTACAGGGAAGTGCAAGGAGGTGCAATTATGACTGTGAAGTTCTGTTTTATTAACTAAGGAGAAATACACCATGGCCTTGTCCTTCTTGAATGAACTTTTTATCTTGTCTGTGCAAATGTTGATGGATATGCCTCAGCAAATGAAGGGGTTAAAAATACTAAATTTTAACATATCCTACTCAAATTTGGTACACATTTTATTGAAACCTTTATTTGTATGTATTGATAATTTGAAGGCAAAATGTGACATAGTATTTGTGCAGTACTCCGTGGGAAAAAGTCTATACACAGAGTCAAAAAGTAAACAAAAAGCGAAGAAAGGAAGTGTGTTCTAATTTCGCACCCCCTCACATGGTTCACGAACACAGGTTTTTTTATTCTAAATTTGGGCTTGCACTTCTGGTCATAGTCTGTTTCAAACGAAAAATGGTTACCCTTCCAAATAGGCTATAGTCTGCTTCACGCAAAAGTTGTGTTTTCGGCCACGAGAGCCAAATTTTCCATACCGATACTGTCGGCGTTGGGGTCAGAGCGATGCACGCACATACCGATATTATCTGCGTCAGGGCTGGGTGAATTAACACCTTCTAACTCACTCGTCCCCAACCTCGGAACTGTTGCGAGAAAGCTGGGAGAACCGCCCTGTACCTGTGCTCGCAATTGTTGCCAACTCAGACTAACTGATTTTTTTCTGGTAGGTCAAAGGGAAGCAACAGCTGCTACAATAGTGAGTGGTTGGGAATCATCTAACGTACAGTCATTTGTCTTGAATTTAAGCCAAGTTGGGGTTAATTCTGTTTACGTGCTTGTCGGTGTGTAACTGTCCTATGCGGGCTCTGAAGATCAAAGTCTGATCCGCTCTGCATAAGAGACTTGAAGGGTCTTTGGGGTTGGGCTTGTCCATGTGTCTGAAGAGAGATCTTCCTGTTTCTGCATTGGCCAATCTATGTTTAGCCACTCGTCTGGGGCAGGCTTGCTCCAGTCTTTGCTGGTCTGCAGTCTCATTCCCTGGTACTCCAGAATGGCCAGGCACCCACTGAAATGGTCAGTACTTACCTGTAATGAGATGACGGGCCAGTCTGACCAGCACCTCCGAGCCGACCGGAGCATCGCCGTTGATCCCGGCCACCAGGAGGACGTGTGGTCGGTCGTCGCGGTGCAAACCGTCCGAACCTCCACCCGGGGAGCCCAGTTCCTGGACGGAACAGAAAAAATCAAACGAGTCATTTCAACTGACAGTAAGGTCTGCAACGTGTGATCACAAAATATTACCATCTCTTAAATAACCTAATAGTGTTGATAGGGGCGTTAAACCTATACCATTTCACCCTTTTCGCAGAAATCTAAAGACAGTCGCTGCAATAAAGTTGCTTGAACCTTTTTAGTTTTAGTAAGTTTTACGGCACTTGCAACACCATAAGGTCATGTAAGTGCCAGAAGATTAGAGGTGTCACAAGAGAGTTACAAACATAAAAAAAGAAGGAGGAGAGATGAGGACGATAGATGTTTGATAGGAAAGAAGGAGGAGAGATGAGGACGATAGATGTTTGATAGGAAAGAAGGAGGAGAGATGAGGACGATAGATGTTTGATAGGAAAGAAGGAGGAGAGATGAGGACGATAGATGTTTGATAGGAAAGAAGGAGGAGAGATGAGGACGATAGATGTTTGATAGGAAAGAAGGAGGGGAGATGAGGACGACAGATGTTTGATAGGAAAGAAGGAGGAGAGATAAGGACGACAGATGTTTGATAAGAAAGAAGGAGCAAACCACACCAGAGTAAAATAAATGGAAAGAAAAACGCGACGTATCACCTTGCTCACATAAAGTATCTCTCTAGATCAGGGTTTCTGCCATGAACTTCCCACCAAATTCAAGGAGATTTCAAGGAGGTATCAAGGAGAAATTTTTAAAAATTCAATGAGATTTGGTCAACAAATTCACGCCGAAAGTCTACTTCTGATAGGCCTACACTTGTCCTAAGGGAATCATAGTTTCGATTTTCTGACCAAATTTGTTCATGTCCGACCTAGCAAAACTCAAGGAGTTTTCAAAGGGGTTCCTCAAATTCAAGGTGTTTTCAAGGACTCCTTGAATTCAAGGAGGCCGCAGGAACCCTGCTACAAATAAAATAAACATGCAAAATAAACGGAAAGGAAAAACACGATGTATCACCTTGGTCATACAAATTATCTCTCTAGAGGTAAAACAAACACGCAAACAGACGGAAAGAAAAACGCGACGTATCACCCTGGTCACATAAAGTATCTCTCTAGATCAGGGTTCCTGCCATGAACTTCCCACCAAATTCAAGGAGATTTCAAGGAGAAATTTTTTTTAAATTCAAGGAGATTTGGTCAAGAAATTCAGGCTGAAAGCTTATTTCCGATGGGCCTACACTTGTCCGAAGGGAATCATAGTTTCGATTTTCTGACCAAAATTTGTTCTCATGTCCGATCTAGCAAAATTCAAGGAGTTTTCAAAGAGGTTCCTCAAATTCAAGTTTTCAAGGAGATTTTTCCTAATGCAAATACAAGGAGTTTTCAAGGACTCCTTGAATTCAAGGAGGCCGCAGGAACCCTGCTACAAATAAAACAAACACGCAAATAGACGGAAAGAAAAACACGATGTATCACCTTGGTCACATAAAGTATCTCTCTAGAGAAGTAAAAACAAACACGCAAAATAAACTGACAGACAACTTAACGTACCACCTTCGTCATATAAATTTTATCTCTAGAGGTAAAAACAAACACGAAAAATAAACGGAGAGAAAAAACGCGATGTATCACCTTGGTCAGATGCAGCATGGGCAGATTTTCCCGGTCGCTCGACTCCGCCAGGACTTCATAGGCTGCGACGGACGGGTTGGTGCGCGCCAGGTATCCCAGCGTCTCCACGATGGCGTGCGGCGACATGTACGCGTGCCCCCGCATGTTCTCCTTGATGTCAAAGTCGTGGTCCTCCGACCAGCTGGAGCGCTCCAGCGTGAAGTTCACCGGGACCGCCGCGCCCGAGGTCACGCGCACCGTGATCGTCTGCAGGTCGTAGCTGAGAATAAAACAATAATGACAACCTTTATTTTGTCTCACAGGGTGAAATTTTTGTCTCGGCCGTTTACAGTGGCAGTCGAATGTTACAAAGGTTAGGTGCACTCACACATACACACAACAAGGCAGGGCATTTGTTAATACAGTCACACTTGTGTAAAACGGCAACACATTGTCAAGGAGAAAAGTGGCCTTATAACACAGGTAGTCGTCTTAGGCAGGACTGATCAAGCTGAAGAAAGCAAATTTGTTTTCTTTGGATAAAGTTAGTTCTAGTTTTAGTAGAGGTTTTACGACGCAACTGCATAAGGTCATATGAACGCCAGAAGATTAGAGGTGTTACAAGAGTGTAACAAACATAAAAAAGAAGAAAGGGGAGATAAGGATGATAGATCTTTGATAGGAAAGAAGGAGCAAACCACACCAGAACACCCGCCAACCACCCACACCCACAGACACGACAAAACCCACAGATATGATAAGAATAAGACCCAGCTGAAGGGCAAAACCTCAAACATGAGACAAAATCCCAGCTCACGGACAAAATCCACAGACACACGACAAAATCCCAGCTCACGGACAAAATCCACAGACACACGACAAAATCCCAGCTCACTGACAAAATCCCAGACATAGCAAAATCCCAGCTCATGGACAAAATCCCAGACATAGCAAAATCCCAGCTCATGGACAAAATCCCAGACATAGCAAAATCCCAGCTCATGGACAAAATTCCAGACATAGCAAAATCCCAGCTCACGGACAAAATCCCAGACATAGCAAAATCCCAGCTCACGGACAAAATCCCAGACATAGAAAAATCCCAGCTCACGGACAAAATCCCAGACATAGCAAAATCCCAGCTCACGGAGAAAACACTCACCCAGGGGCCGTGGCGCTGACAGAGTAGGTGCCCGGGGTGAGAAGCCTCCAGAAGTCTCCGTCGCGTGCTGAGAAGATCTCGTGCTCGATTCCGTCCACCATCACGCTGGCGTTGAAGATGCCCATGCCAGTCTGCTTGTCCGTGATGAAGCCGCGGACGCCTTTGTGCACCTGTTGCAGAACGCCAGGTACACGGAACAATTTGCATTTCAAGACATAAGTTGTAACGATTTTTATTTTTAGTAAGCGTTTTACGGCACTTGCAACACAATATTATTACCTGTATTACCTGTCCTGGGCAACAACGTCATTGCGAACCGGACAAGTCCATAAATGCTCTCAGTTCCTCCTAGCACCAAAGCACACAAGGTATCCATACTGAATGATTGTGCAACACAATAAGGTCTTATAAGTGCCGAAGATTAGAGGTGTTACAAGGGAGTAACAAACACAAAAAAGAAGGAGGAGAGATCAGGACGATAGATGTTTGATAGGAAAGAAGGAGCAAACCACACTAGAGCATCCGCCAACTACCCACATTTCATGTTTAACAGAAGACACAATTAAACAAGAAACACTCTACACCTTTGTCAATACTCGCACAGAAATTGCTTCAACTGGTCGCTTTTAAGCACAAGGGGGTTATCCCGAAAAATGCCGTTTTGAGAAAATCGAAGGTAAAGTTTCTGCCCCTTGTTCACTTTCTTTAAAATACAAGGAGAGTTTTCTCTGTAACCAAACAAATAAACACACCAATGAAACTAAACTTCTCCTATAGGTAGAACAATGCCCACTTTTAGCGTAGGTTAAGATTTCTCGAAACCCCCGAAATCCGAGTTAGCCCGCTTGTCCTTAAAAGCGACCATTTATGAGCCACTGACCAATTATCACCACAATCATCTGACGTAGCACACCATATCCTACTTCATGTTCATGAGAAGCCAAAATTTATAGTAAAATCTCAGTCAAACCTCGCACTGAACCGACTTCAATTTATTGAGTATATCAAGAAGTAGAAATAGCACTAAGAAAGTGGCGGTGGATGGGAAACACCTTAAGAAAGCGCAGCGGAAACATCACAAGG